GGGAAAAATGTGAACTATGAAAGCTCCACTCAGCGGAGCTTTTTTGCAGTTTTCTGGGGGTACCCCCTCGTATATAATCTTCTCAGAAGATTCCGAGGTCCACTGGCATAACACAGTTCACAAAGGGAATGTTCTCCACCCTACTTCAGTCTGTATTGCCTGGGGTCTTAAGAGCTCGTGAGTGGCTATCTACAGTGCGGATATTTGTCAGTCTCTCCAGGAGACCAGTACCACGCTGCTCTGAAAGGGATCATATTAGAAAGCCCTAGCTAGAGTTGGAAAAACTGTGGAAATATAAAATCAAAAGAGTCTAGATTTAAATCAGTAAGAGGAAAAATGTTTTAAAAGTCTAGGTTTGCTGGCTAGATACTTTCTCCTGCTGAGCTGCTGGGTGCACTGAACTTCCAATCTTTTAGTTGGCAGCTGAGCACTTCACGGTTGCACCACAGTTAGGGGCTTGGTAGGACCCCCAAGATTATGATCCTTGGCACCCTTAATATTGATAACTGAACTCACCCCAATGGCTCAATTTTCATCCACATATGTGACTGTTGTAAAAGTAGAATGATAACATTAGAAAGGTATGCAAACCTCAGAATAATAAGCCATTTGAGACCCAAAGGGAAGCATTTGCCCAAGATAAAGTTCAGAATGGTGAGCAACGGAGAATGGTAACAGGAAACATGGGCAGGAAATGGGATACATGATTTTACATTGTTGGGATTGCAAATGTAACATGAAATACAATGTGTATGAATTATCGAATGGAAAACTGACTTGCTCTGTAAACTTTCACTCGATTCACCATGAGACATTAAAACATATGTGCAATCTATATATATACAGTATTTACACCCAACCACTTCCATCATTCACTGTGACCCTCTGTAGAGATTCTGAGACTGCAAACCTTCATGGGTGTAGACAGCGTCATCTTTCTCCCAAGTAGCATTCTAATGGTTTGAGTCTCCAACCTTGCTATTAGCAGTCCAATGCTTCTCCCATGGTACCATGACTATATGAATATACACTTTATATGCCAATGAATTAAAGTTATATTACATATATATATAAAACCTCATGTGACATATATATATGAAACCTCATGCTTTATATATATATATATATATATATATATAGAGAGAGAGAGAGAGAGATATAAAACATCATGATACATATATCATATATACTCGAGTATAGGCCGACCCGAATATCTGTGAAAGCATCTAAATTTACCACCAAAACTGCATTAAAAATGTGCTGAAAAAGTTGGCTTATACTCAAGTATATATGATACACACACACATATGAACTATATCTATATATGTGTGTATATATACATTTCCTAGACATTTACTCTTACATGTTTATGTAGACACAAATTTATATACGTAGAAATACTACCTATATTTATACATACATACGTGTGGTATCCCCCCCAAAATGGAATTTTTTTCAAAGCTATGTATTTAAATTTTTTTACAAAACACCCTTATCACCTCCAAAGTCCTCTCCATTACAATTAATACATTTGTCAAAGTTGTGATTCCACTCTTGGAAACATTTTTCAAACTCATGTGGATGGCTGACAGCACTCCCTTGGTTGTTTTCTCCCTCTCTTCTATGTTGTCAAATTGCTGTCCATTCATGTCCCTCTTCATTTGCAGAAACAAAAAGAAGTCCCACAGAGTGAGGTCAGGTGAGGCAGGTGCATACAGCAAGAGAGGCATGCACTGATGCACTGAGATGGCTGTGTGAGCAGGTGTGTTGTCGTGGTGGCAAAAACCCCATCTGCCACAAATCAGGCCTTTTCCCCCCCACACTGTTAGGCAATCTTCTCAGAGCCTCTAAATAGAAAGTTTGATTAACAGTCTGACCTGGTGGAATGAACTCCAAATGCACTACTAGACGACATTTTCGTTCATTCCGAAAGTTGACGAATGTTCAGAGGGAAGCTTGTCATCAATCAACATTTCACCTTTTTTGAAACAAGAAAACCACTCATACA